TCTGAGAAACTGCAGTCAGGTGTGACATACATGTTTGTGATATATATGTATTTGTATTTGCTCAAATGTTTGGGACGACATTTGATGGTAATGCACTCAATTTTTCCGTTAGAGAAGCAGAAGCATACATAGTTGGAGGACGACCAGTTAGTACTAATAAATGTTGCTACACCACCACCACATTTCTTCTTCGAAAAGCTTCGATCTTGTCGAAATAATTTGAAACCATCTAAGCAGACTAAGTCATCATCATACAGATTATGAAGCCATGTTTCCTGCAGCATTATTACACCGTGTTTCGATAAACATTTGTGGACAAGAGTGACTGAAGGTAATCAACTTTATTCGGCAACGACCTGCAGTTTGTGCTAAGTATTTCCGGAATAGTCATTTGATCTATGGTCATACGCTTCAGAGCTCGTTGCCATCCACCGTGGTGCTTCTTCTTAAATTTCCTATCAACTTGCGAAGCGATAGGTTGTAATGATTTTAAAAACGCGCGAGAATATACAATACGATTGGTTGACATAATTAAACGATTAAAACAATATAGAAGTAAGAAATTGTATGCAATATACTGGATGGTAGTGAGCAGATCTGTTACTAGTTTTCATCTGCTTATCAACTATTTTATTCACAATGACGCAAGTAAACTAAAATTCACGTAATTTTTCGGTTAACTTTCACACATCTCTCAACTACTTCTAACGTCTACTTGGCAATTTTCAAATAACTATTATGCTGCTAAGCCTCATTCATTCTTCTCGTTTTAAATGCGCATGTGTATCTCACTCAGTATTATACCATGGTATATATAACCAAGTGTGTAGAGTATTCAGCTGAAACGTCCTGCCAAAATTTATGAACTTATTAAATCCTCCTTTCACTACATTTGTTACCTGCTTCAAATGATTAGTGACAATAGTCAGATATATTGAAAAAATGAAGCATATCCTGAAGATTAAACATACACCCTACAATTAAGCTGATGGTTTATTCAATTTCTGTATGCTTTAATTGATATCAAGAAGCAACCTCTACTATTGGCTTGATGAAAGACATAATGACGTCAGTTATTGTTGACATTTTAATTTCCATTGGACTACATTTATGATATTAAGTAACATTTTTACCTTGAAAGAGTCTGCATTGCACACAGTTTCGCATGCAAACTATACACTTTCCGATTATCTACAGAAAAACGCATGCTTAAGCATGCCTATCATTTTCGTTGATAAACTGACTCACTTAGCTGACAATATTCAAACATTGTTTCGTCTTAAACTAAATGCTTCAGTGAAAGAAGTTGAGGAAATCCAAAGAAACAGAAAAGTATCAATCATTCTGTATTTTTAGAAAAGAAAAACTTTCAAAGTATTATTATTATATTCTTTTGGCATACTTTGAAGATATCATATAATCACGGTTTACAGCAGGCAAAAATTACATCAAGGGAATTTATTTGAATAGAGTTCATTTGTACTTTAATATAACAGGTGGTAAACAGAAATACTAAACACGAATCGAAGATAAAACAGATTACGGAGAAGAAAGGAAAGAAGTATACTTTAAGACTTGTTTTCAGTTTTATCAGTGCATAGGAAGTGTTAGATATTAAAACAAACAAAATAGCTAATATCTTTGTGCTAATAGTTGTTGTCAAGTCAGTGTCAGATTCCTTTGCTGCATGCTGATGCGTGGGCGCACTTAAAAAGGACAAATAATCATTAAGAAATAAAAGTACTTTTGATCAAACGTTAGCACATGTCCAAAGCTTTCCATTTTTTGTGTATCAAAGAAGTTTATACTGTCCAATAGACAGTAGAAAATTAATGAATTAAGGCATCGGAATTCATAACCAGAAGATGGCAGATCTAAGTTGTTAAACTGCATAGTCCAACCAAGGCATTATTTGTTATACTGTATGGTAATTTCAGTTGTTAGTAGGATAAACGTTTACTAATATCAACCATAAAAATGCATGAATTCAGAATTGTTTCAAACTTCTGACTCATTCATTGTCTGAATTGAGACTTAAATGAAACTTTCTAAATGAACCGAAACTCGAGAGATTAATAATATAGGATTCGTATTCTTCACTGGTATCAAAATTTAGCAATAAGAAACTTAGTGCCAATCTGAAACCCACAAAAACATATCTGGCCAAAAAGACTTCTTAATAAGTATCTTTAGAACTTGGAAATCCTGTTCCTGAATTATTTGACTACCGTAGTAAATATTTTAAACCATAAAGTGAATACATTTCCAGTCAACTTTTTAAAATAAAGAATAAAGAATTTTCGGCAGTAGAATAACAGCAGTTGATCTACGTGAAGAAAGTGTACACTCTAGTAAAATATTAAAATGGTGTATTTGTTTCATACTGATGGCCACCTGTTAACCTGTGGTACGTAAATTTACCAGTTAGATTAAAACTTGAGACTATTCAATCAATCTCCAAATGCACTGATATAAACAGACGGACACAGCAACCAAGAACCTAGCACAAAGTGCATTAGATCAATTTGTTACACTTCACAGCAGCGTACGATGATGGAGTTAATAGGATAAGAATGACGTTAAAGAGAAGGGAAAATGCATGAAAAGACATTGGACAAATAAAAGATGGTTGATAAAACTTCTGTAATTTATAAGAAGAGAGAGAGAGTGAAAACACGTGCATCAGTGTGATCGAGTTGAAATCATTTAATCAGGAGTCTCCAGCTATTGATTCTTAACGTCCTGAGGACTTTATTTTAACAATCAATCTTTTTCTCTCTTCATACATCTATAAACTTACTTGACGTTTTTGAAAAAATTCAGTAAGTTCCAAATAACCAAATGCCGCTTAAAATAAACCATTATTATATTATTTGTCCCTTGGGTACCTAGTGGAACATAGGGATTCAGTAGCGCGTCTCAATTGCACTCTCTTCTCTGAAATCTTTTCAACATGACTCCACCACTGCCGACAACCTTTCATTTCTTCCTCACATGATCTCCCACATATCACCATCACCTCGAACGCCCAACTCGTCGTTTCCCCTCCGGATTCCACTAGACGGACTAGCCTGGTGTATGATGTCCCCAAACGACCAACGATCTAGTGTATATCCAATCCAATCCAATCCATCACCACTTTCTTCTGCATATTTGCTGGGCGATGGGTTCTTGTTTGTTTCGTTGCCAGCCAGCCAACCAGCCAGAGTTCCTTGTTGCTCATGCTTATTATTCTGGTCATCTGATCTTCACTATCGAGTGGGCGTAGGCGGCAACTGTTGATGAATGTCTGTAGTTTGTTGGAAATACTTTTAGTGACGCGCCAAGTCTCTCAAAACATCACATAGAAGCACTGACTGACTTGACTGATATTAGTGTTGAAAATCCGGATCTTGTTCATGCTTTATGCTGAGTGGAGTGGAGTGGAGTGCAGTAGATCTCCATACCGGTTTCAGGTTGATGAAAAACCTCTCTTGCTAACTATCCGATCATGGCTTTGACATCCACATCTGTGCCTCTGCCACCACCGCCTGCAGTTGGAACGATACTGCTCAGGTAGGTGTGTAGGTAGGTAGGTAGGTAGGTGTGTAGGTGTGTAGGTAGGTAGGTGTGTAGGTAGGTGTGTAGGTAGGTGTGTAGGTGTGTAGGTAGGTAGGTGTGTAGGTAGGTAGGTAGGTAGGTAGGTAGGTAGGTAGGTAGGTAGGTAGGTAGGTGTGTAGGTAGGTAGGTAGGTAGGTAGGTAGGTAGGTAGGTAGGTAGGTAGGTAGGTAGGTAGGTAGGTAGGTAGGTAGGTAGGTAGGTAGGTAGGTAGGTAGGTAGGTAGGTAGGTAGGTAGGTAGGTAGGTAGGTAGGTAGGTAGGTAGGTAGGTAGGTAGGTAGGTAGGTAGGTAGGTAGGTAGGTAGGTAGGTAGGTAGGTAGGTAGGTAGGTGAAGGAGACAACTTACTTCAGATTTCTCCCGTTGATGGTGACTGGTGCTTGTTGATGCAGTTATTGGTTGGGTATCTTCATCACCTCTGTCTTCTCCCAATTCGCGTGAAGGAAGTCCTCTCTTCATTCACTGCCATGCCTCTCCTGTCAACTTGTTAGTTTTCGCCTGTAGATCTCCGTGCTTGTGCGACAAGACATCAGACATAAATCATCGTCGGCGGCGAACTCCAAATCTTCTTCTGGGATCTTTTTGTCGGTCCAGTGTATGCCCATCGTCTCGCTCCTCACCGTTTTTTTACATGATCTAGTCGACCACAACCAAGAAGATCATCGGTGATAGTAAGCGGCAACCTTGTCTTACTACTGTCTTCACTTCACAGGCATCAATGAGCTTTCTATTGTGAATCGCTTGGCATTTGGCTGTCGTCTGGGTGACAATATCGGAGTAGATTATTGACTCCTCTCCACTTGACAGTTTGCAGAGTCCACTTCCATTCCATCTACTACACACATTCCCAGCACTTCTACCCCATACCTCCTCATCTCTTCTGCAATCTGGGCAGCCCTGTCAGCCAGCTCCAAGCATTGTGCGGACATTCCTTGTCCCTATGTTTACTTTCGCTTTCATCGAGAGAGAGAGAAAAGACATATCGGCCAATTGAGTTCCCGAAGGCTTTCTTTCACCAACCGGTATCATTTCGTCTCTCCGATTCCAGCGAGGAATAAGTTGAATTTTATTTTTATGTTTTGTTGTGCTTTGAAGTTTGTTTAGTGATTGGATTGGTTTTATGTGGCATGGTTGCTAGCCCTATGCCCAACCTTTCCTCTTTATCCGGACTTAGGACCGGCTAGTAACTAGTTAACTTGTCAACCAGGTGAGATTAAGATAATCCAAGGAAAGGCGAAATCAGGATAAATGGAAATCACGTGGCATGGACCAACCAAATAATTACTCATTCGACGTTTGAGTATTGCGCAGTACAAAAAGCACAATGCATATTATACTTTCTTCCACTTAACATTCGTAGAAGCAACTTAGCTATCTTGGCTGATCTGGGTGTAAGCTCACAATTAAGCAGTACGTAATCCGTCCTCTGATAGTACCTCACATGTATAATTGACTGGAATTTGTAATAATGATACTGGAAAATCCTCATGTTCTTCACTGGTAAACTTTAAACGAAATGATTCATTAACCTGTCTTGGATCGTTTAGTTTTCGCTGTATCTTGTGGGGAGTGGTGTTGGTATTCCTGGCACTTTTTAACAGTGTATTCAGTACATATAAAAGATCTTTCATACACTCTAAGTTAAGATGACAGTCTTGTAACAACGCCCAGTGACCTGATAATTGAGACTGATTTACAGCTTGTTGTATCCATAAAATTTGACTTTTATCCACTGGTATAATATCTAACTTTCTGCTCATGTCGTTAGCAAGTTGTTCAGTTTCCAATTTGGTATCTTCCGTTTAATTTGTTATATTTATTAGCGGAGTTGAATAATTGAACTGCAGGTACATACCATGAAGGAATTCGAAGAAGTTGATGCCTAACTTAGTTTTAAAAACCATACTAAAAACTTCTGGAAGCATAAAGAAATACGACCAAAAGATTATTGTTAAACTGTGGAATAATGAAAATCTAATTTCATTGTTTGCCGCTGAAGTTCTGCAAAGTAGTCAGAGATAGATGTGGTACGTTTAGTTTCCAATTGGTTTTTATAACGCGGGGAACTCATCGACCTTTATTTACATGTGAACTCTTTGAACAGGTACCTCAATAATGTCTGAAGTTTCATAAAGACGTTATTTGCTCAGTGGTATCTAGTACTGGATCTAGGATATGAGTTTCACTCTGTTTGTTCTTCGCCAACTGGATGTACCTTCATACCTGCATCATCACTGACTAAGATGCAAAATATTCAGCTGGAGAGCTCAAATTAGGAAAAAATATGCGTCCCAGATTCTAGTGCTAGTCTTAACTAGACAAATAATAAAATTTATAGTACATGGCACCACAACTCAGTGTCGACAGGAAAGTCACAGTGGCCGACAGAATTTTTCGATTTATTAGAATTAGAATAACATTTGCTTCATTATATTATTTAACAGCACTTTTAAAATAAAGAACGAACTGTGAGATCTATACACAATAAGTCAGTGTGTCACAATCTTCAAAGCTAGGACTGAATACAGAAGCACGGATCTGAAAGTCATGAGTTGATATGCTACTTTTACCCCCTTACTACTATTTTTCTAGTGATAAGCGTGTTATTCATCAAAATCATGTGGATTTTTATGAAATTTCCAGGTACGTGATACAATACAAACTGAACAGCTTTGATTTCAGACGTAAAAGTGCTGATAAAGTTAGTTCTGATAAAGAAATCCAGGGAAAATAGTTACCTCATGGCTGGTGTCCCCAAACCTTCCTTTGAATCCATGATAAAATTCATACATGCTAAAATGTTTGTGGGAAAATTTCGAACCTATATCATAATAAAACTCCATTTATTTTCTTTACCATGCACCTTAATTGCATGTAAAGTAGTCAATGAAATTATCTTCAGAAAAGATCACATAGAACCTTGCATACTATATGAAATGACCACGAAAGTTCCTAGGCTGCTACATATTCACATTACCAGATTATTATTAGATAGTATATAATTTAAAGTAGGGGTTTGAACAGTTTCATATCCCCTCGTTTTTAAATAATAAATCAGCAGATGTGATAAAGTGACAAAAAACGTATATGAACTCTTGCAACGAAAGTAATGTCAGTGCTTCGATCACTATATTTGTGTGGCATTCTAAGCTAAATAAGAACATAGAATTTATCAGGAGTCTCCCATTTATTCTAATATTCTTCCTGTGTTATTATTATTTTTACTAAGCAGTTTAACTAGCCGAGTAAATGTGAAAATCAGCAAAGTTGGTGCTAGCATTTCACAATTGGCTAGATATGGTTTTCAACTAAAGACATCCAAAGCAATATATGCATTATAGGTATAAGAAACAAAAACCAAAAGGTTGCAAATACAATGCTTGCATATAAAGTGTGGTTGCATTGTAGCAAAACAGAAATTATTCTCACACTACACAATGATTCATGTTTTGCCTTATGAATATCATCGCTACACTAAGCCATTTGTGCTGACGAAAAGTGAGTTGATAAATTCAACGAATCTTTCCTTTGGCATATATTCACCTCAAAGTTTAGTCACACAGCGATGAGTAAATGAATTTACGAAATGAAAGCTTCCACAGTACAAATAAATAAACACTAGATTCCACAAAAATGTCAACAGGCAAATATAAACTGTTTGATACTATTCTACAAAAACATATGTTGACTTATTTTAAGAGATTCAAAAGGACCATCTCTCCTCTCATCTTTCCATCAAATTAGTCACTGTAAGACTAAAAAAACGTAATATTTACTGATAAGTGAGTGAACATCATTAGAAAGGAACAACATTCTTGACATATTTCTCATAGTGGTTCAAAAAGTATGCTAAGTGATCATTTGCGGCTTTTGCGATTATAGTCCTAAATTAGTCGGTACATCATTCAAGTTGTTTCTCTTTGTGAAATCCATCAGTCTTGCCTACGAATATTGAAAACCAAGTCTTCAATGAAATTGGATTTAGGTACATTAAAAATGAAACTTTTTGAAGTCAGGTCCCCAGCAACGAGTTAAGGAAAGCCGATGAAATCGCCTAAACTCAGAATCAGGAAATCCGGTTATAAGGTGATTCTCTGGATATTGAGCATTAAACCGCTTATACCACTGGCGTTCCGAACAGACAGCCTAAGGTATAAAAACAGATCCGATAAACACTTAGTCCATATAAAAATAAAGATATCAGTTAGTAACTTCAATAAACCTTAAATCAACTTATTGTTGTTTAAGTATAGGTGCATACAAGTGAATTTTGCATTTCCGGAATTGAATTCACCTCAGATTTAACTGGATATACAAGGTTAAATAAATCTGCTGGCATCCCGATTTATTATTTTCTGTATTGCCGTAAGTAATCGCCTATTATCAAGCCGGATGCATGGTGGTAGCTAGCTTTCACCTAGGCTAACAGAAAGTATAAGTGCCAACCTAATCATCGATCACAGTATGATCCAGCCGACAGGCTTCTAAAATTTCTGAAACTCCTTAGAGCATCTTCTAAAGTCGGCTTTATTTCTCAATCTAATTATTGTCTATAGTTGGCCACGTGAACTGATATGAAGGACAGAGCGTCGCTTAAGTGTTAATTTGTATTAGTCTCTGTAAAGATGAAGATGGTCTATATGCGAACTAGTGAAATGTTTCTCATAGTTGATAAAATTTATGATCGCCATGATCTCCCTATTGAAATTTTCATATCAGTGTGAGAACTTCTTGACTAATCATCATTTTCAGTGATATGTTACGCTAGTTCATGGTACATCTATTGGAGATCACATTTTATGATCTAGATTAGGTGGCTTCCAACATACACTATTCTGTGGCGAAAACTTGGCAACTGAAAATCTACTGGATTACAAAAAGTGTTAACATAATCCATGTACTGTGCAAATAATGCACAGACTCATAATTTGCTGGGAAACTTTTTAATGGTAGTTACTTTGACTTACTTGTCCAATAAATAAGAATACTACATTTTATGATCGAGTCGCTTCTATCTGTTACAAATAACGTCACTTGCTCCCGGAAGTAATCTCTATACATCGGAAAATATCTTCTGGTTCGCTTTACATAGTATAAGTAGATTTCTCCAGAAAAATAGAAATTAAAAACTGGGATTTCAAAATCTACGCTTTGATGGCAACTTTAGTATGGTTCACTTACAAGACACAAAATGTACACATAGTCGGATAGTTTAGATGAAGCCATTAAATTAAGTAAACTGAATCGGATATTCATTTACTTTTCTTTGACGAACAGTTTTGAATGCACAAATGTGAACCTTTCATAAATATATCCACCTTGCCTTGTTCGAAATGTTTCAACCAAATTTGCAATAAAAGTGTGAATACTATTTTATCCTTTTTAAATAAACGTATGACATAAAACGCCATATTGTTCCAGTCATTCTGTGCATACCAGTCTTCATTATATTTTCCTCACCATTGTTTGCACCTTGTTCGCTGAAAGGTTTTAGACTATCTTTGAATAGTGTGACAGGTTGTCTTGCACCGAAGTGATACATTTGACTGATAGATGATGAACCGGATACTAGGAAAAATAGTAATAAACCACGACCAGCAATGTACCTGAATACTTCATATTTTTTTGTATCGGTTTTTCCTTCTCGACTGCTTCAATTAATTGTTCCTTAGTAAGTTGAATAGACTGTTGTACTCTGTGCAATGAGTCGAGTGAGTTTAGATCTGTGAATAGTGATTTCGCGTTCTGAAAGATGATAATGTTCTGTTTAACTGTTTTAGTTTCCTTCTGAGTCTAATTATATCTTGAAGAAGTTAAGATTGAGCGGGAATCCCACTCCTATACGTAGTAGTAGTAATTCGAAACAAGCTAAGGGATTAAATCGCAACTATAAAGAAGACTTATACCTCAAGAAGATAATAATAACTCGTCATTCTCGGGACTTTGGTATACTTTATTTAAATTGATTGTGAAATAAGTGTTGATGAAATCGCCTAGCTTAATAAAAAAACTTTCAGGGATAAGCGTCAAAGTTGAAGGAAGGCTCAAAAATTACCAAAGATTAACTTTTTGAAACCATAACACTTCTGACTAAGGTGGCTGCACCTTTATTTGAGTCAAAGCAGCAGATCCTTGATTTCACATTCAACTACCTAGTAACTAGACAATTCCAAACCCACTGAAACTTGAAGATGAAATCTGTTCTCATCAGTTTCAAAACGTACTTTCCATTTCAACAGGTTTTCAGCAGCGGATAGAAAATAGTGACTAAACTCTATGCAACAAAGTTCAGAAGAGCATTTTTTAACCACTCGGTCACTGATAAATAATACTAACATGAAGAAAAGTATTATATTATCGTCCACAAAATATTTTATCTTAAGTACATACTGGCTTTTCAAATGACACTTTTGTTCAATTATTGTGAGATCATAATCAACGGGAAATTTTTAACTGCCTGTTGATTGTGGCCATTTAGAGACTAACGGATACACACATAGATTACCCTATAATTTGATTTCAGTTTTATAAAGATGGATAATAATTCTGTACAGATGAAGTTCTGGCTGTCACAGCAATTCATTAGAAGAAAATACTTTAACTAAGTAACATAATTACACAGAAATCCAAAAAGCACTCCAGATTACGTCTTCCTGTTTTCCATATTCTTGGGTGATGTAAGATTTTTAGGCATCTTTATATGCAGGAAATTGAATTGTAGTTCAAAAAAATTTGCAAAAGTAAAATTTAAAAGCACACT